TCAACCCGCCTCAAAGCCAACGCTGATTGGACGTTCGTTTGGTGAACGGATCCAAATTTTCTTTAATGGAGAGTCTCCAGACTGATCTGCGAGTGAAACCTTGAAAGCTCGCGAGATCAGGCTAGCGTTTTAGAGGATTCTGGGACGTCAGGCAAGGTGTGACAGGGGCCTAAGAGGAAGGTTACGGAAGGAAAAGCAGCATACAAACCAGAAGAAGAAAAGCTTTAGGCTAAACAGTTAACTGAAAATATATAACATATTACTTTATATCAGTAGAAACCCATGTCCTGTACTTATAGAACCACTATCTATCCTGCACTTGCTGCTATTGCACTTCTGGTTGGACCTAAACTGCATTTCATTGCCTTGTACCTGTACCTGTGTAATGACAATAAAGTTGAATCTAATCTAAATTAAACTTCTAATCAAAGCATATGATTTTACACCTTGGCCATGAAAAAAATCCTATTGATAACTATCATCCTGTAGTTGGATCCATCCATCAAGCACCTTTTAAAACAAAAACACCACAGCTACATGCAGCTGCAGAGAAAAAGTCAAACAAGTCCTTGGAAAATCCCACTTCACAACAATTCCAGTGCAACAGGAAAGACTGTGACCCATCAGATACTACGGCTAAAACAGGAAGTTGTAGTCGGTGGCGTACACGAGTAGGAGGAGACTGGAGGGTGTAATACGACTCCTTCTTCAACAGCTATGGGCTCCTTTGTTCAAAGAGAAACTGGTGGAAGATGAGATAAAAAAAACTGATGGGCTGAGTGTTCTGCACACACAGATCGCTCCTTCAGAGGAAACGGCCGACAGAGAAAAGCACAGAGACATGAAAAAATATATATTTTGATTTAAAGATGTTTTTATTGATTAATTCTAACAAAGCATTATATTCAATATCTTCTCCATTTCCTGAATTTAGGACCAGTTTCTGCTTCAAAGCAAATGAATCATCAAATTGGGACTTTTTGAAATTTGATAAAATTTCAAAAAGCCATTTGACTCATGTTTTTTGGACAAGGGAAGGATCTATAAATCACCGCAACTTTCAGATCCAAAGATATCGATGTGTTGCAATGACCCAGTCAAAGCAGAGACCTAAATCTGTAGAAGAATCAACAGAAAAATTCTATTTCATCTGACTGAGCTTGACCTTTCCTGCAAAGAAAGTAAACCAATATTTAGTAGATGTCCAAAACCGCATATTAGGCGGCTAGAAGCCTGGGTTTGAATCCCAGCAGGGGAGAATGAGCTGCCAGTCCTTAGGCAAGACCCTTCACGTTAATGCCTGCTTTGGGGAGTGGCAATCTAGCGGTTAGGGCATCGTTCTTGGAATACTGAGGCCCCACGGCCACAGACTGCCACTCTGGGTCCTTGAGGAAGACCCTTAACCCCCACACTGCAGAGCGGGCTTGGAGCTCGTCTGTCTGGCTGTGTGTTTCCTGGATGGGGCCGCCTGTGGAGCTGGTTGAGAGTTGCCTTTTGTATCTATGCTTCTTTTTCTATCTCTGCTTCTGTCTCCTTGAACCCCAGTCGGCCTCAGCGATGGCCGCTAAAACTGGGCCTGGTTCTGCTGGAGGTTTCTTCCTGTTAAAAGGGAGT